GCGTTGACCAAAGGAGTCGCCTTTCCCAAAATACTTTCAAACAGCTCTGCCTAGAGCTGGGACTGGAGAAAATCCTCCTTTCCTCTTTAGAGTGGAAGTAGAGAAAAGAGTGTTTCCATTTCCAAGTAAAGTAGGCATGTGACAAATGTAAAACTACATTAAATACAAGGGAAAACGTTTCTGCTTCCTCAATCCTACTTCATCACCCAAAGGAAACCACTGTTACCAGTTGCGTGTGTTCTGCCATGTCTCTGTGTATTTTCCATACCTTTATCTGCGTATTCTTCATTGTATTAACCTGTATATGTGTATGTGCATCTCTTTAGGGATTTGCACAAATGGGAGAATACCATTACACTGTTCTACAACTAGCTTTTTTCCTCTTTTAATTATGTAACAAACTTTCCATATCTACACATGCAGACTTGACTCATTCTTTTTAAGTGGCATCATACCCATTTGTGCCTATGTTCTATAACTAATTTTCTCTTCATGGATGTTAATGTTTTTCCTGGGCTTTGCAAGGGGGGTTATGGTGCATTTGTTTTGTCACTAAAACCGATATTGTAGTTCAGAGCTTTGTTCATACACCTCATATACTTTGGGACATACCACTGTAGGTGCTATTTCTAGAGCTGACTTTCAAATAAGCCAACCAGGAAGGCTGTTGGCTCCTGAAAACTGGAGAATATTGGAGCTGGTAGAAACATGGGAAATGGGCTCCATCCAAACATCTCACTTTACAATTAAGAAAACTATAATTACTAAGACTAAAAATAAATATCCTATTTTATAAGATTTCCTAGCTTCTAAGAACTGGCTAGTGTGACTTTGGACAAGTCACAGTGTTGTAATGGCAAAGAACCCACCTCGCATTTGTTTTATTATTCTATTTAAGCTGCAAAATGTAAGCAAAGGAATGCCTTGCATTACACAAATCATCTAACTGAAAAGAAGGGCATGGGAGTAGAAAGGATACATAAGAATTTCAAAGTTTTTTCCTAGAAATATCTGCAACGGAGCTCCAAATAATATATGTGGCTACTCCCTCCTCAGGATAATGGAGCTTAGTTCCTTATCTCTCTTTTTTTTTGTTTTACTTTTATGAATTTATTTAATGAACTCACATATATTTGCAAGGTTATGTGTACAGGCTGTTCTTTGCCACTTTTTTAAATTGTTGCTCAGTTACAGTTGTTAACTCCTTATCGTTGAGTGACTTGCTTCCGAACAGCAGAATATGGAGGGAAGAAAAAGTAACCTAACAGTGGAGAAACCTAGCAAACATGACTCAGCCAGATGATCAAGTTTATCATCACCTGTGATAAGTTGGGTTAATAGTACCCACCCCTGACATAACGTCATGAGGATGGCACTTCTACCTCTGTGGTCTTCCTCCCCCAAAACCCATCATCTTAGGCTAACTATGAGAAAAACATCAGGAAAATCCAAATGGAGAGACATTCTACAAAACACCTGACCTGTACCACTCAAATTGTCAGGCATCAGAAACAGGAGTCTGAGAAACTGCCAACCATTAGAGAAGGCGAAGGAGACAGGAGCACTAAATAATGTGGTATCCTAAATGGGATAGAAAAGGGCATTCAGGAAATAGCAGTGAAATCTGAATTGATTGTGGAGTTTAGTTAACAGTCATGTACCAGTGTTGGTATCTTAGTTGTGACAAATGCACCATAGCAATGTAAGATGTTAACAATAGGGGAAACTGGGTGAGGGGTACACAAGACTCTGTACTGTCTTTGCAACTTTTCTGTAAATCTAAAACCGTTTTTAAAAGTTGTATTTTCTTAAGCATTACAATTTGGTAGTTACAAAATAGTCACAGGGATGTAAAGTACAGCATAGGGAATATAGTCAATTCCCTATAGGGAATTGCAATATAAGGAATATAGGGAATGGCAATAACTGTGTATGCTCCCGGGTGGGTACTAGACTTACCAGGGGGACCACTCTGTAAAGTATCTGATTATCTAACTGCTATGTTGTACACCTGAAACTAATATAAAATAATATTTAATGTCAACTGTAAATGAAAAAAAGTAAATGGAGAAAACATAAAAAATAAATAAAAATTGTATTTAAAATAAAAAATTATTTAACTTAGAGACTTTATTTAATCAGAAACAAAGAAAAATTGAAGCAGATATGTTAAAATTGAAACATTGAAAAGCAGGTAGTTGGTACACTCTGGTTTATTATATTATTCTATTGACCAGCTTTTCACTTTTGGTTATTTAGAAGTAGCTCACAGCAGAACAACACTCTCACTGAACAAATGGAAAGCTGAATAAGACACACAGACACACACAGACATACACACATCTGTTTGAAAGCATCTGTAAACTCCTGAGGCATCCAGGACTTGCCTGGAGAGAAGAGAATTCTAGAGGGGTGAACCGAGATTCTTCAGCCTCTTTTTCATTATGGAAATGTGTCAATATTTGGCACAGGTCAAGAGTTCTAGGCTCCAGGCTATTTCTAAGAAACCAAGAAGCCAACAGAGCTATTTGCATTCTCACAGGGCTAGAGAGAAAAATGTAAATGCGATGCTGCAAAAGCAGTCAGAAAGTAAGAGGTCCTGATCTCAGACAAAGAAGTAAAGTGCATTCTCCCTCAAAGCATTTGGTTGATTCTTAAATTAGGTATATCAAGAAATTAAGACAATATAAACAAAAAATTATTGAAAAGCAGAATGGTGTTTAATTGAGTTTCTCAGTGGTGTGAGAAAAAATTCAAGTGTACCATCCACCAACAAGAAAGATCCTAGAAGGACAAGGCAATTCCAGGTTCAAAGTGAAGCACAGAAAGAACCGGCTTAAAAAAATGAAGAGAGTGTCAGCGTGCTGTTGGACAAAATCGAGTAGTATAGCATATGCTTAATCAGAACCCAAGAAATTGAGACAGGGGAGCTATAGAAAAGACATATTCAAAGATAAAATGACTGGAAACTTTTCCAAATTTAATAACAATTGTAAATCCACAGATCCCCTCAAAAACTCAACAGGCACATAGTAATTTTCTTTTCTTTTTTTTTTTTTTTTGAGTAATAAAGAGAAGGTACTAAAATTGGCTGGAGAAACGAAGACAATTGCATATAAAGATAATCAACATTCGCTGACTTCTGGCAAATAAGGCAGGTCAGGGAACAACGTTATGTCATCTTCTGAACGATGAAAAATGTCAAACTAGAATTGCATATCCAGATTATATACCTTTCAAATATATAATCTGCAAAAATGCAGAAAATTTCAGTCTCCTGAGAGAATTTTTTGCCAGCAGACTGCTACAAAAATGTTTCCTTTGGACTGAAGGAAAATAATTCCAGATAGAAACTCAGACTATACAAAGGAATAAAGTGCTAAAAATTATAGAAATGTGGATAAATATAAAAGATGTTTTTCTCATTTAAACATTTAAAATATAACTATTCAAAGCAAAAAATAATAAAAGTTTACTGTGAAAGTAAAATGTATCATGGCAATGGCAAAAGGACGGGAGTGAAAATGGAAGCGTGCGTTTTAAGGTTCTTAAATGTTACATGAAATAAACCAGCATGTTAAAAGGATCATACACTGAATCAAGGGAGACCTATCCCTGGGTCGCAAGGATGGTTCCACATACACAAATCAGTAAAGGTCATACACCACTTTAACAGAATAAATGATAAACATCGTATGATCATCTCAACAGATGAATAAAAAGCATGTGACTTCATGATAAATACTCTCCACAAAATAGGTATACCTGGAAGGAACATACTTCAACATAATAAAGGCCATATATGACAAGCCCACAGCTAATATCATACTCAATGGTAAAAAGCTGAAAGGTTTTCTTTTAAGATCAGGAACAAGACAGGGATGCCACCTCTCACCACTTCTATTCAACACAGTACCGGAGTCTTAGCCAGGGAAATTAGACAGGATAAAGAAATAAAAGGCATTGAAATCAGGAAAAAAAGAAGTAAAAAAGTCTCTGTTTGCAGATAAAATGATTTACTGATGAGGATCAAAAGATGAGGATGACCCACAACCTTTTGGTTACAAGATGACACTCCAACCCTAAAGAATCCACCAAAAAATAGTTAGAACTAACAAATTCAGTAAAATTGCAAGATACAAAACTAACATACAAAAATCGGTTTTGTTTCTGTAGATATTAAGAAAACAATTCCATTTACAATAGCATCAAAAACAATAAAATGATTAGGAATAAGTTTAACCAAGAATAATGTTATTCGAAGATAGGCAGTGATAAGGGAAAGATGTATATTGTGAATCCTGGAGCATCCACTATAACAATTAGAGAGCAACATGGCTAATAAGGCAGTAGAAGAGGTACACAGAAAATGTTTTTTAATGTTACATTCATTCAAAAGAAAGGAGTAAATGGAAAATGGAACAAATCACAGATGGGACAAACTGAAAACAATTTTAAGTTGGTAGATTCAATTTAACCACATCAATAATTACATTAAAAACATGCGCAGGGTTAGGAATGTCATTCCTAAAAAGTTCTTCTAGCTTTAATCATAACAAAATAAAGGTAACAGAATTTCTTATTTTACAAATATTGAAGTCACATTATTAGAATGCAATCTTTTTAAAAAAATCCTCACTCATGACATCTTTTTTTTATTGCTTTTAGAGAGCGAGGAAGGGAGCAAGAGAAAAATCAATGTGAAGGAGAAACCTTGGTTGTTGCTTCTCCTATGTGCCTGAACCTCGGATTGACACTCTGCCCGAGGATCAAACCTGCAACCCAAGCGTGTGCCCTGGCCAGGAACTGAACCCACAACCTTTTGGTTACAAGATGACCCTCCAACCAACTGAGCCACACTAGCCAGGGCTAGGATGCAATCTCGAATGACCATTATTATTTACCCTCTAAAATGGAAAAATCTTTACCATGCTTCAGATTCCTTTGTATGTGTCAACTGACCTTATAAATTTCCTAGATGGCGGTGCAAGTTAACATACCTTCCACTGAATCAGGCATCTTTCCTCCCCATTTGGTAAAGTAAACGAAGCCACTTCCTGACCAGGGAAAGCAAATCAGCCTAAAAATTGCATTAGGCTTTCGGTATAAGCAGTTCACAACTTTTTTATTCCTGGAGGAAAAGAAAAAATATCTTTAACATTGTGTATATCAATTAATTTGTTCAAACTGAATTAAATGTGTTCTAATGAAAACCCTTATTAGTTATAAGGAGAATATGTTCAACTAAAAAGTGATTGCTAATTTTTCCAATAAAAAAGCCCCCCCCAAAAGGGTTTTATGGTTTGTTTTTGACAACTGAATGTGTAAACTTTTAGGAATGTAGGTGAAATAGTCAAGTATTTCTATGTAACATTTAGTAAGTACATTAAATATGCACATTTTAGGTGATAAAATGTTAATTCAGAAATTGCCTTTTTCACAATTTAGGGAATAGTTTTATCTAAACAGGTTATGGGCAGCTTTGATCTCACTGTCTTCATGACCACTAGAGCCATTTTCAAGTGATCTGCAAGTTGTCCAGAGTACATAATTTTCACTCCTTTGGAGTATTAGATGAATATAACTTTTTTGCATCTGCATGTAATGTTGCCACTGCAAATTTCACCCCAAGATCCAAGTATTCTAGACATTTCTGTTTTAAATGGACATTTCTGTTTTAAAAATGAATCCTATATGTACATATTTTGTTCTCTATGATTTAAATACTTCCTATAAAGTTTTTGAATTGATAATTAAGTTATTTACAAAAATATATAATCTTTCCAAATGTGAGGCCATCAACCTTGGTATAATGAAGAAATGTTTTGCCTCTTTTTTTTTTAAAGTTCCAGTTTGTGAAATGATCTCTATAAGCATTCAAAACTAATACTGATTGAAATCTTTTCAGGTTAACATGTTTTCTCTGAAGAGGACTTGGTTTTTCATAATAAAATAATTTGGAGAACAGTAATAATATGAGAGACTACATACACTAAGCACAAGTTAAAATTTTTGTGAGGGAATGATAATTTTTGAAGAAAAACTCCTTGCTTTCTATTTGGGCACTTATGTTAATAATTGCTAATTTAAAGTTAAAAGCAAAAACAGCTGATTTCAATTTTTTCTTTTGAAGAAGAACATCATACTTGGAGCTACCTTCCTGCCAACCAACCCTATTTTCAACAAACTCATTGATCAGCCCTAAATGAGAATTTCTCTACCATTTTCTTGAACAGTGTTAGTCATTTTTCAAGGAGCACAAAAACCTTCAGTACAGGTACCACAATTTGGTAAAAAGCACATAGCAAATGGGTGACCCTTTTGAACTTCAGGGTTGGTTTTTTTGTTTGTTTTTTGTTTTTTGTTTTGGCTACTGAAGAATCTAGAATTCAATATTTCTTCAAACAATTCATGCTTTTAAAGTAAGAAGCCCTACTTCAATCTGTTGAAATTATTTGTGTTCTAAGAATCCAAAAATGTGTTAGAACGAGAGTGGGTACAGATTTTGCAGCACCGTATGCCCATGCAGGTTGCAGGAGTAGAAGCTTATGCAAAGTTATAGACACAAAATTAGGTGAAGAACTTTTGATCATTAGCTTCAAGGTGAAAACCATCTTCCTTTGGGCTGGGGATAGTGGTAGGAGCTGCCTTTCACTTGTTCAGAGTGGCGTCAGTCTCGGTGGGTCCTCGCAAGGGATGCTTACACTGCATGGTGAGCCCGCGGCCAAGGCTGCATGCAGAGGGAGAGCCTTGGGAGGATACCGTCCATTGCTGCTGTGCCCGGTCGGTTCGTAGATATGCTCTCACTCCTCGGTTCTTCCCTCTCTCCCCAGCCATCCAACCTCTTCTCTCTACCAAGAGAAAGAATCAAAGGCCAATAAAACCTCCATGCCTAGGGCAGCCAATCTTTAGGGTAGAAGCCTTCTGCCTGAACTTGCTTTTTCTTTACCTTCCCTTTATTTCTAAGGTAAATAGTAGCATTCTAAAACTTTAGAGTGGAAAGTGAGTAGAGAAATCATTTAATACACTATTACAATTGAGTGAAAAAAGACTATGGCAACAAAGAGACCTGGGTTCAAATGCTGACTATACCCCTGTCAGTGTGACACTAGGCGAATGACTCAAGTGCTTTAAAGTCTCAGTGCCCTCATCTGTAAAATGAGGATAATAATAGTGTCTTCCTTACATTTGGATTAATGTATCAAAAATGCTCAGTATTGTTATAGGTAACATCAAGCAAAAATAAATGGTCCTTATTATAACTGATTTGACAGTTGAAAAATTGAGACGCAGAGACATTAAGTTACTGCCCCAAGGTCACTCAGACAGTTAGTGACTAATCAGGAAACAGAACACAAATCCTGTTGATCCTAAAATCCACTTCCCTACTTAGCCCCGTTCCCATAGTCTCAACATCAATATGCAAGTGGACCACTAAGTGGCAGGACGTGGAGAACACACCCAGGAAGCTGTGCATTAAGAGTCAGGGAGAAGAACCTCTTCTCCACTTGGATGTGTAAACTGAATCTCACCTTTTCCTCTTCTCAAATGCACAAGTGCTTCAGCCAAGTCATGGACTGATACGTTCACTTTAAAATCACTACCAATTCAACAGCATATTACAGTGAATGATTACTGATATTTACAATATCTTGCACTAGGAGCAATAGATACTAAATGAGGCTTCTGTGTGAAGCCCCTTTGAGCCTAATAAGGTGACCTTAAAAAGGCAGGGTGTCGGAGCCCCAGGGGTTGGGAAGAACTAGGCTGCACGCAGAATGATGTACCTGGCTGTCCCAGCTTTGTCCACATTTTCTGTGGAGTAGGGAGAGGGTGCAGAATTGCTGGTCTCAGCAACTTGTTGGCCAGTGCCAATGCCAAATTCTGCACCTCTGTGGAGAAAAGTCTCTGATCAGTCTGTACACACGGAAGAGTGACCAGATTCCTTTTTAAGTCTGTTGACTATATTTACTGCCCCAACCCCTATTTGAAGGAAGAGGAAATGGGTAACTGATGTAATCCAAGCACGAGGAGCCTCCTGCCTGGGTTACATTCAGTTACCAGTAAGGGCTTCCATTAACTGAATCTCCAGCTAATATACCAAAAGAAAAGGTACAATATTTCTGAACACTAGCAACTAAACAAGCTACAGGCAAGAAAATTGGACTAGGATGAAGGAAATTTGTTTTTAAAATATGAATGTTTTGGTTTCCTAAATATTTATATATATATATATTTTTTAATCTTAAGGAAGAGCTAGCAAATCCAAGGAAATCTGTTCACTACTGTGCCAGATTTCCAATTTTGTGAGCTGCAAATATTAAGAAAAGAGAAGAAAATAATTAGGAGAGTTCTACCGTTTGTAAAGGATTTTAGCTCTTTATGCCCGAGGAGCTCCTTGAATCCCAGGAAATAATTATGTCTCCGCACTCGGCTGTGAATCTCATGACTGTGCCTAAGAACCCAGTCAGGTCCCTCAACCTACCACGGTCCTTAGAGCGCAGTGCAGGACACTGGCAGTGACTGAAAGACTTGCTTAAATAGAGGAAGATGGTTCACAGAAGGCGGGGGATCTGTCTGGCAGAAACTTTCAGTAGTAATGGCCCAGAACCACCTGGATGACTCATTAGGCTTTCACCGACTTTGTGTGAAAATACGTCCGTCTTAGGCAATGATACAAAGTACAGAGAAAGATGCCTACTTCTAGCAAGGAAGATAGGTAGTCAGCAGTGATATAAATACACTCTCAGTGTTTATAACTGAGGGCTATTATTGAGCTGCAAAGCTTCAATAAGATTAGGCTGAATACCTCCCATTCTTTCCAACTGAAATGCATAAAACCTATAAGACCTATATCTCTGATGTCAGTTTATGTTTGACTAGCACATTTTAAGAAGATTAATGTTACCCAGTGTTCACATTTATTTAATAGGCATTTCCTGAGAGCCCATGATTCTCGGTCATTTTTCAACATTGGAAGTATCTTCATGTAAAAATAAATTGACTCTCCACCAAGAGAAAACCACTAGAGGCATCATTTGATTGGGGTCCCAGAGGAGAGAAGAGAGGGAAATCAAGGAGAGGCAATCTTCAAGAGGCAATGGCTTAGATATTTCCAGAACTGAAGCATGATACCAGTACAAAGATAAAAGATGCCCAGTGAATTCCAAGAAGAATAGTTTAAAAAGAAAGAAATCTACATATAAATGCATTATAATAGAACTGCAAAACAGAAAAAGAAAGACAAAAAAATATTCAAAGCAGCCAGGTGGTGAGGAAGTGGGAATGGACTCTTATCTCGGAAGGAATAGCAATTAGACAGACAGAAACGTAGAAAGCTAGAAGAGAGTATAATGGTAACTTCAAGTGTTAAAAAGGAAAATTGCTAAATTTGAATTCTCACAACAACTTTTTTTAAAATCCTCACTCGAAGGTTTTAAAACAATTGATTTTAGAGAGAGAGAGAGAAACATCCATGTGAGAGGGAAACATCTATCGGTTGACTCCCCTATGCCCCTGACCAGAGACGGAACCTGTAGCCTCTTGGTGTACAGGACAATGCTCCAACCAAATGACCCACCTAGTCAGCTTTCAGAACAACTTCTAAGGCACAGGGTAAACTAAAGACATTTTCAAACAAGTAGAAACAAAGCTTGTCACCAGAAGATACTGTCTAAATAAAATTTTAAACAAAATACTTTGGGCAGAAAGTAAATGATCCCAGAGGGCAGATTGGAGATGGCAGAAGGAATGAAAAATGAAGACAGTGGTAAATATTTGAGCAAGTGTAAATGGACATTGCTTGCATAAAATAGTAATGTCTCGTAGGCCTTAAAATATACATAGAATTCAAATACCAGACAAAATAACATATGCTAGGAGAGAGTAAAGGAAGATCCTTATATAATTATCTTAGAGATTTTATTAAAGGTAGGCTTTAATAAATATGCATGCTCTAATTTGTAAGGCAAGTCCTTGAAAGAACAGAAACATACTATAAGTCACCCAAACTGGAGGAGGGCACAGAGGAGACAGTCTCTAAAAGGTGAGTTGCCCCCTGAGAGCAAGAAGGGCAAGGTGACCTGGAGCAAGGCAGAAAAAACAGCGTGTTGCATCACCCAGAGGGGCGGGAGTGTGCACTCCCAGAGGAAACAAACAGGGTCTCTGTACCAGAGAGCGGAGCATGGGTGAGCAGGTGGTGAGAGAGAAAGCGAGGCATAAGTAGGAGATAGGTATCGAATGGCCTTGCAAGCAAGAGGATCAAACTTGATCTTAACAATGAAGTCATCGTAAGATCTTGGACTTGACCTCAAGAATGATGAGAATCCATTGAAAGGTACAATGACCAGAGTTGCCTTTCAGAATGATGGCTTGGGCTACGCGGTCAAGAGAGACAAAGAGCAAGTTAGGAGGCTGCTGTAATGATCTAGGACGGAAAAGAGGGTGGCCCGGCCAAATCCTAAAATGGGCAAAAACTTACCAAACACTTACTAAGGGCCAGGTGTTGCTTTAGGCTTTTAAGATGTATTCAGCCTTTTATTTTTTACAATTAGGTAAGCTGTCTGCACAAAAATGATGAAAGTGTTATTATTATCTACATTTTGAAGACAAAAGGAACTTTGGCACAGAGAGGTAAGTGACAGACTAAAAGGCACATGGTGACAGGGAGCAGATCCGAACAGTCTGGCTCCAGCAGGAGTCTGTCCTCTTAAGCCTGAATACATTCCATCCTTGTGCTAAGGGGCTGAAGAAGGGGCTAGGTTCCTCAGGTACTTTAGTCCCCGGAGTCTATAAGCTTTGGCAAATTAATAGAAATGGGAGAAGGAAGAGCCAGATTGAGTCCCAGCTTCTGGCTTGGGCAGCTGGAGATGTATTTACTGAAACAGGAACTACACGGGGAGTCGTGGATTTGGGGGAAAGGTGATGTGTTTGGTTTGGGATGTGTTAAAGTTGAAGCACCTGTGAGGCCTTCAAAGGGAGACTCTCAGAAAGTGGCCATGGGGACTTCATCTAAGGAGCACATCTGGGAAAAGATTTCAGGGTGGTCTTCATCAAGGGGAGGGTGGAGCTAAAGGACAGAATGAAAAGGCCTGGGAGAGAAGAGAGACCAGGTTCTGAACTGGGGGTTGGGTCAGAGACTCTGCCAAAAATCGACATACACTGCAGACGTTCTTCCTAGAAGAAACGCCCGTGCCTATTTGGGTTGGTGCTTAGTGTCGCTTTGCAGGGTGGAGGTTCTGAACCCTCTTCCTCAAAATTCACCTGTGGACTCACTGCGTGGTGGATTTCAGATTAAGAGTGACAAGAAAACAGGCTAGGACAGAGGCTCAGGAATCGTGCGTATTTAAACAGGAGGCAGCAAAAGAAGCTGCCATGAGGCTTGGACGGGGAGACCAGGGAAGTAGGGGGAAGAGTGCAAACTGGGCCTCTTCGGAAGAGGCGGCTGCCCTTTGCAGCCTCATGCGCCAGCACCGTCACCGTAGGAGGGTGCTGGGCGAGTGTCTCAGAAGGCATCTACAAATGTAACTTATAGGGAGCAAGAGATACACCGATCAGTTGCCTCTCCCACACCCCCGACTGGGGACCTGGCCTGCAACCCAGGCATGTGCCCTGACCAGGAATCAAACTGGCATTCAATCCACTGAGTCACAACAGCCAGGGTGACCCCAGCTTTTTAACAATTAGTACTTCACTTTGGAAAACTGACCCTGAAGTCTGAGACAAGCTGGGATGTCAGCCAAGGCCACAGTGGTGCCCAGCATACGCTCCCAATGTGATAACTCATTAGTTCATCATGGAGCACAGCTGTAAGACTAAGACTGCGGGGCCACAATCTA